CTGAATAGCTAGATCAGCTAGATCAGTCATATTGGCAAGTCAATAAATTAGCAAGGTCAGCCACATCAGCAAGTTTGTTAGATCACATAATCAGCTAGATCAGCTATTTTTCTCCATCATCCAGGTCGGCTGATTAGTCAAGTTAGCTAATTAGGCAGATCAGTCATTTATAGCTAATTAGCTGAATCAGTTCAGCATAATCGGTTAGATTGGCCGGATCAGCCAACCAGCTAGACCATCAAGATCAGCTGCAGTTAGAACAGTCAAATCAACTAATCAGCCACTTCGGTCAGATCAGGTAACCACAGCACACGCAGATCAGCTTATCGACTGGATCAGCAGGAGAAGCCGCATCAGGAATCAGATGGATCAGCGTATAAGCCAGATAACCAATTGAGCTAGACCAGCCAAGTCAGCTAATCAACAAGAATAACCAGATTGGGTAATTGGATAGGTCAAACTAGATCAGCTGATCAGCCTGACAAGCAACTCAGCTAGATCTGCCAGTAAACTAGATCGGCATAACAACCAATTTGACCGACAGGATCAGCCCATCAGCTGGATCGGAAAGATCAGCTTATAAGCGAGATCAGCCAGATTACTTAACAGGTAGATCAGTCAGATCAGGTAGTCAGAATCATCAATCTGATTGGTTAAACAACTTATCAGCTGGACCAGGCAGGACATTTCATTGGTTAAAAAGCTTACCTGGTGGGAGAGGAAAAACATACCAAGCTAGATAATGCAGAGAAAAACATCAGTTCACCTGTTTCAGCTGATCAACTAATTGGCTAGTCAGCCAGACTAGATGATCAACTAGACCAGCCGATCAGCCAATAAGCTAGACTAGCCAGATCAGTCATTGCCAAGTAAATCGAATGGCCCGATAAGCTAATCAGGTAAATAAGCCAGGCTAGCCGTATCGGTCAATTACCCAAAATGATCTGATCAACTCATTGGATAGGTAGATCAGCCATACCAGATAGTCAACCTGTTCAGCCTGATTGCTAGCCTGTTCAGTGTTGGAGAACATAAGCAAGTGCCACTAGGTTATGGTTGGGTTGGGCTTGAGGGACCGCATAAGAGAGTAAGAATTTACAGAAATGGGAAAAGACATGAGAGTGTGTGACGTTGGATCAGCTAGACTTCAGGGGGACGTAACTGCAGTGAAATGCGGTTACAGCCCCCTGCGGTTACAACCCTAAGTGAGCACCTTTGGCTGATCCACGTCAGCATGTGCTAGACTGCTGTTTGGCCCCTATCAGCTTACCTACTGTCAGCAACACGCCATGAAGCGGAGGGGAAGTAGGTGGAGAAAAGGAGAAGAAACTTGGACAAGAGAATTTGGAAAGATGCTCCAAAACAGGCCGTATTATAAACGCATAACCACATTTCTAGTATGTGAGTTGACTTGCCGATGTGGACTACACAGCATTCCTTCAGCTCCAAACAAGTCCTAGTACACATTCCCTCCCTCACACCATATATGGAGATATATGGGTGAGCGAATATGTCTAGAAAGACCTGGATGGAGACAGAACCAGTATGGCGACGTGTGAAGGACATGCAAATGCATGCAGGCTATGGAGATACAGATTTGCAGTGTCTTGATTGTATGTAAGACAACCATGCTCACGGCAAATGCAACTTTTCTTAGCCTCAACCCAGCCCCCTGACTTGTGACGCAAGCTCAGCAAAATCTGTAACTGGAAAAATAATGCATGCAGAAGTAAAACAAGTTCCTAAAGTACAAGCAGTAAAATCACAACTTACTCCCAGCGTTCATCATCCAGGTACAAGCCATACATCAGTGCGACTTCAGGGGGCTGTAACCGCATTTCACTGTCAAAGAGATGTGGGCTGTGTGCAACCTCCAGATGGCACAGCATCTTCAGCTCGGTGATGTCCTCCGGTAGTGCCTGCAGCTGCCTGCACTTAGACAGATTTAGCCATGCAAGCCTGGTCAGGCGTACGAAGTGGGGAGGAAGCGAGTGAATGGCCGAGCCTTCCAATTCCAGCTCATTGAGGCAAGAGAGTTGGGTGAGAAATGGAGGGAGGTGCTCCAAGGCAGCACATTTATGCAATTTGAGCTCCCGCAGCTTGGATAAAGCACCAATGGCATCAGGAATGGAAGCCAGCTTGGCTGCTTTAATCTTCAGGGATGTCAGCTGCTGAAGTTCGGTGATTGATGCTGGCAGCTCAGTCAGCGAGTTTGCATCAACTAAAACCAACTTCCGTAGCTGCTGCACAGCCGACCCTATGTCACCTGGAAGTTCCTTCAGACTTGTCGCATTCGAAATTTTAAGGGTGTGCAGCTCCGGAAAAAACTTCAACGAAAATTTTAGCTCCTCAGCATCTGCTTCCAATACCATCTTCAAGCGCTTCAGATGCACCAAGTTTCTGCTGAACTCCTCCCCAAACTCCGCATGACCCCGTGGCGATCTCGTCTCTCCATACTCCCACTGACACTGATTTTCAGCCCATCTCGAACATCGGCTGTAGTTCCCCAATCTCAAAGTCTCAAGGGAGGATGGCAGCACCTCGGGAGGTTCATGCGGCACTGTAAACCTTGGAAGCTCCAACAGTTTCAGCTTCTTCATGTTGTCCAGCCTCTTGGGTAAAGAAATCCCTTCGGAGCTGCAAATCGACAACACTTGTAAATCAGTGAGGCATGTGAAAGAGTCCGGCAGCCTTCTAATAGTGGATGATGAAATGGTGAATTCTTGCAGCATGCTCAGCTTCCCTATGTCTTCCGGAAGCTCACCTATCATGGAGCCATAGAGACACAGCCGTTTCAAAGAAGAGAGCTGAGTGAATGAAGCTGGAAACTGCTGCTGGGTCCTTCTGCCGGTTCCGTGCAGAAAAAGAGCCTCGAGATTAGTGAGCCGTCCGATGTCCAACGGGAGTGCTGCTAGTGGCAGCCCGACGAGGGCCAGCTTCCTGATAGCTGTGAAGCTGCAAAACTCGGCTGATAGCTGGCGGATAGCTTTGCACTGGACCAAACACAATGTTTCCAAGGATATCAGTTTCGAAAACGAATTAGGGAGGTCCAACATCGGCAATTCATGCAGCACCAATGTTCTCATGGCAGGCAGTTGCCCAAAGTCTTCAGAGAGGTTGGAAAAGGAGTTGCAACGAGAGATTGTCAGACTCTCCAAACAACATAACGATGTAAAGTCATCAGGCAGCTCAACGAGATCCGTGCAGCGAATGCTCAGCTCCTGAAGAGACGGTAGAATCTCCCCAATGTTGTCAGGAAGACGCCTGAACCGCTTGCAGTTGGCAATCAGCAGCCGTCGGAGCCCGCTGCACGTCGATCCAGAGGGGAAAATCAACTCCAATGGCGGAGTCCACTCGTTTAGTTCCAGCGACTTCAGACCAGGCAGCCATGCCATGTTAAGAGTTGGATATGCCATGCCATCATCTGGAAAAGTTCGGTCTGGGGAGAAGGAAAGGCTGGTAAGGACAGAGCGGCGAGTAAAGACAGGTTCGCGAAGGCGGGAACTTCCAAAGCTGAAGGATCTGGTAGGACTAGACTCCGGAGATTTGTTAGGTGGAAAAACGAGGCAGGAAGCTTGACGTGCCTATGAAGGCAATGGAGCGAAAGATGCTCGAGTTGAGTGGACTGCTGGAAGAAGCGATCCAAACCAGCTTCAGTGACTGGATGGAGCTCTTTCCTCTCATCGCACACAGGATGATGGTCAGTGATCGAAGTTCCAACGTGGAAAGTCTTCAACTTGGGGCAAGACGAAGCAAGGTGGGTGAGAAACACGTCATTTAGGCTCTCAACGCTGCCGTCGCACAGATGAAGATGTGTCAGGTTCGGAAAGCGGGAGATCGCGCTGGAGAGTTCGTGAAGTGCGACATTCTTACACTCTCTGACTAGAAGCGTTGAAACGTGATGCTAAACTAGGCGGCGCCATTTCTGGCAGACAGCTGCGATGCGGAGAGAGAACGCTGCATCCGTGAAGGCAGGAGGGATTGGCACCAGGACCTTTTTTTGCTCACGGTAAAAATAATCTCCAGAGCCCCAAACGGAAGAGGACACTAACGCTTTCCAGTTAACATGCAATATCTCGGTAGGAGGAAGCCATAGAATCCGGACGAGGAGGTCCTCCGGAAAGTTATTAATGTTCGAGCGACTCTCCATTTCGAGGCTCTAAACTCAAGAACAGCGTTGCTGCGGGAAGGAACGGCAATCGACGTGCTTGTAAACTAAAACGGAAACCCAGCGAAGCAAGCAAGGAATGAAGAACGTCACCTTTGAACTACAAAGCAAAGAGTTTACTAACCCGGCTGGGATCTGTGTTCTCAGGCGATGGTGCTTTCAGACGACGATGAGATCACGAGAGAACATGAGCTCCAAAAGGTAGTCTCGATGGTTCGTCCATTACGTTGGCTTCAGCAATTTTGGGTCCAATAAGAGCCGTATACTTCGACTATCCCCTCGTCGCTGCCGCATGAAGCCATGAGCTTATCCCCTCGTCGCTGTCGCATAAAGCCATCAGCTTTGCAGATCCCGAGAGCCTTAGGTGGGCTAGGACCTTACAGTTAGCTGACTGGATTTCGTGGTGGACTAGGGTTCAGCTGACACAGGTGGGGCTGGGCTTGTGCAGCTGCATCCAGAAGGGCGCGTACCACTCGTGGCTCCCGACCCGATTCATGCTCGGCTGCAAATTTGTTCAAGTTGAGTAACGCTGCTGACTGTTGTGAATGAACTTGCAGAATAACGAATGACAAGATCAGAATTACAGACAACCGATACAATGAAAGTGACAAGACAAATAAGGGAAAAGGGATCCGTAATTCTTTACACTCTCCCACCTTCCAAACATGACCTCATGACTAGGTCTAAACATGGAAACACAAATGACCACACAGCAAATGCACTTTCCAGCTATTTACCAGAGCTACTTGGTTTGGTCCTGCACCTAGATGTATTTCACATTGAACCATTCCTAGCATAGTGCTATTCCATGTAACAGGTCAGAAAATCCATCCTACCACCACACGCCCGGGGACTTTTGAGGGAGCCATCCTTTCTCTCTGCTCTTGACGAAGCTCCAGTGCTCGTAACCTGCCCATGAACGTGGCAGGGGAAAGGACTCAGATTAACTGCACAATGCAGTGGAAAGAAAGAAAAATATCTCAGTCATGCCACGTTTGCCGTGTCAGGACGCTCTCAACTTCCCCCACATCCACTCATTCCTCTACCCCCTAACTTCCCCTCACCGGCTGCCCTTCCCCCAGATCATACCGAGCGAGATATTATGCTTGAGCGACCAGAAGAACCAGCCGGCCTGTGCGGTGGCAAAGGCCTGCAGCTGCGCCTTGCTGAATGCCGCCTGGTAGCTGTCGTCAGGATGCGCCATGGCATTGGAGAACTCTCCCACCAGCACTGGCCGCCCAAACTGCACCGGGAGTATGCAGGGGAGCAGCGATGGAATGGCAGAGTGGCGGGGGTGGAACAGAGGGGAAGGGAGAGAGGTTGATGCCAGGTGAGGCTTGTACGGCAAGAAAGCACAAGTGGGTTGGCTTGGCATGGCACCAAACAGGTTGGCACAACAAGAGATCAGCAATGGCCATGGCTGAGCGCGCTCACCTGCTGGTAGTCCCTGAGCTTGGCAGGCATGGTGGTGCGCGTGTACTCCACCTCCTGCGCGGCCGTCATCTTCTTGTTGTTCACCAGCTCGGGATTGAACACATTGTACAGGTGCGACTCGAGGATCACGTTCGTGTGGATGTTGTCGTACAGGTGCCAGTGCACCTCCCATATGTTGGACCCGATGCGCCCCTCCATGGACATGAACGCGCACTTGGCGCCCTTGCGCAGCGCCTTGTACCCCGCACTGTAGTACTTCTTCAGCAGCGGCAGCGACACGCCTGACTGCACCCCGTACGCCCACGGCGCCGCCGGCTCGTTGACTAACCCGATCCCGAGGAACTCGCTCTTCCCGCCGTACCGCTTCCCGAGCCACTCCACAAGCTGGAGCGACTTCTGGTAGTTGGCTGCGAGCGGCCAGAGCGTGAGCGAGTCCCGCGACCCGTACGTGCCGCTCTGCGTCCCGGGGAGAACGTGCAGGGACAGCCAGATGCGGATGCCGTACTTCCTCCCCATGGTGAACGCCCAGTCCAGGCGCTCCCGCGTGCCTGCCGCCCAGGGGTACTCGGGTTTAGGGTCCTGCATGACCCAGTAGGGGATGGGGATGCGCGCGGCGTTGAGCCCCTGGCGCCTCATGTACCGGAAGTCGGCTTCTGTGAGGAAGGCGGTGCGGAAGGACGACATGTAGGGCGTGACCTTGCTGGGACCGAGAGAGGCGGAGAGCTGCCACTCGTCGTCCCGCGTGCCCGTCTGGTGGTTGGGGGGAGGGGGAGGAGGAGAGAGGGGAAGGGTGGAGAGGGTTGGTGAGTTAGCAAGGGCGTTAGTGGATTATGAGTGAGCGGAGAGGGAAGGAACGAGAGAAAGGGTGGGGTGGTCGCGAGCGGGAAGAAGCGGTGGTGAGATGAGATTGCAATCCGTTAGTGCCCAGGGTGAGATGCGTTGCAGGGAAGTTACGGATTTTCTCCTTGCCAGGGCGTTAACGCGGGTCAGGCCCACGTACTAAATAAATTCACTCTCTCTCTCTCGAAAAAAAAAAAAAAAAAAAAAAAAAAAAAACGTACGATGGTGACGGCGAAGGCAGTGTCCCCCGACCATGAGGTGGAGGTGCCATCAGCCACGAGGTCGCCTGATGCGGTGGCGCGCAGCATCTTGCCGTTGGCCGCTACCACTCGCACCAGCGACAGACTGCTGTCCTTGAACTGGAAGGAAAAGTCCGAGTACTGGCGGTTGGGAGGCCGGGGGAGTGAGGCGGAGAGGAGAGGAGAGGAGAGGAGAGGAGAGGAGAGGAGAGGAGAGGAGAGGACAGGAGATGGAGGGAGAGGAGAGAGAGAGTAGGGGGGTGTTTGAGAGGCTGGAAGAACTCATCCTGCTGGTACCTGAACTGAAAAAAGATGTCAGTCCGAACATCATATGTGCATGTATGCCTTTGTCCAAGCGTGCACATGCATGCAGGCATGCATGCGTGCATGCGTGCGTGCGTGCGCGTGTGCATGCGTGTGTGTGTGTGTGTGTGTGTGTGCAGCGCACCTTCTTGGTGGGGTTGGGTGAGCCAGCGACGACAGAGGAGCCTGAGAGCGCCCAGTACTGCGTGCCCTGCACTCGCACCTGCCCCCAGAGAGATGCCGCCAGGTGCAACCGAGGGAGCGGGGGAGGAGTGGGAGGGAGGGGTGGGGGAGAGAGGGGGAAAGAGAGGGAAAGGAGAGAAGGACAGGGTGAGGTGAAAAAACTGGTGTCCTGTAGGACGGACAGGATAGCGGGGGGTAGTGGTGTGAGGAGAAAGGAGAGTGAAGGGGCGGTGGAAGGAGAGGGTGCACGGGGGAGAAGGCAAAGGAGAGTAGGTGAAGAGAATTGGGCCATGGTGAAGGAAACTGGTGATGACTGGGATAAGGAATGCTTGATATCTGGGAAAAGAAACAGGGGGACATGTAGGTCTGATGGTGGTGGTTCCTCCGACGGACTTCTGTGTTGCATGCATGTGAACGTGTGCACGCAAATATGTGTGCATGCGTGTGCATGTGCATGCATGGGTGCATGCATGGGTGCATGCATGCATACCTGGTACTTGGCGCCGTTGGTGCGGAGGAAGAAGATGCCGTCATAGCCCGGAGTGGAGTCCTTGCATATGATCTGCCAGGGGGAGAGGGCGACGGGGAGGGCGAGAGGGAGGGCGAGAGGGAGGGCGAGAGGGAGGGCGAGGGGAGGAGGGAGGAAGGGAACAGGCAGATTGCAGACGTAGAGACATCAAGGGGTGTGAAGGGGCGAAGGTGGGGGAGGGACGTACAGGGGGATGCGATCAAGGTGATGGTGGGTGGTGCGTGAGAGGGTGGGTGAGTGAGTGAGTTAGTGAGAGGGTGGGTGAGTGAGTGAGTGAGAGGGTGGGTGAGTGAGTGAGTTAGTGAGAGGGTGGGTGAGTGAGTTCGTGAGAGGGTGGGTGAGTGAGTGAGTTAGTGAGAGGGTGGGTGAGTGAGTGAGTTAGTGAGAGGGTGGGTGAGTGAGTTCGTGAGAGGGTGGGTGAGTGAGTGAGTTAGTGAGAGGGTGGGTGAGTGAGTGAGTTAGTGAGAGGGTGGGTGAGTGAGTGAGTTAGTGAGAGGGTGGGTGAGTGAGTGAGTTAGTGAGAGGGTGGGTGAGTGAGTGGGGCCCAGTGAGCGGTGACAGGCTGTGAGGAGCACGTACCGTGCTGCCGCCATAGTTCTTGGCCGTGACATACTTCTTGGTCGTCATCGATTGCAGCCGGAACTGATGGCCGCGGATAGGGGGGAATCGAACCATGGATGGGCGCATGGGTGGGGAGAGGAGGCAGAGCACGGGAGGAGGGGAGAGAGGTGAGAGAGGTGAGAGAGGTGAGAGAGGTGAGAAGGACAAACTGGCACCAACCGGATTCTCTCTGCCACTCCACTCCACCGGCAGCAGCGGCAACTTTAGTCCATGATCGACAGCATCAGATACACCTACCACTTATCCTTCCCGGCATTTCCCAGATCTCTCTTTCCCAATCCCCCACATCCCTCAAGTTCCCCTCCTCCTCCCTTCCCCCCCCCCGCGCACCATGGTGCCGTCCTTCCACTTGCGCGGGGTGCTGTACAGCCCGGGGTTCATCCACCGCTCGTACACGAGCCACCCGCCCACGTTGGCGCCGCGAATGGCGGGCACCATCATGGCCTCGAACACCACGAACGCCTCCCACTCCGACGGCGACGTCGCCCACCGCAGCAGCTGGTCGCCCTTGTTGCCGCTCGCACTCACGTACTTGCCGTCGTACGCCAGTAGGTTGATCTGCGGGGAGGAGAGCGGGGGCAGAGCGAGGGAAAGGGGGAAGAGAGGGGTGTGGGGAGAAGGTGGGGAATAAAGGGGAGGGTTGTTGTTCCAGGGGTGCGGGGCGGCAGCGGGACCAGGCACAACAATCGCAGCAGCTGGTCGCCCTTGTTGCCGCTCGCGCTTATGTACTTGCCGTCATATGCCAGGAGGTTGATTTGCAGGGAGGTGGGGTGAAGAGCAAAGGAAGGGGGAGAATAGTTCCAGCAGTGTGGAGCGGAGGGACCACCCGGCTTTGACTATGCTATGGTAAGGAAGAAGAAGAAGAAAAACTCTTGTGTGCACAACTCCTCTCAGATAAAGAAGCTCCCGTGCACTCCTGTGTATTCCCGTACGTTCTACTCACGGTATCAGCGCCGGCTGAGACGATGGTGAAGATGGTGGTGCGGTCCGCCTTGGGCGTGAGGTCCAGGGTGGGGAACTTGGCGTTGATGCCCGTGTACACGCCGCCCGCGCGCACGTACTTGCCGTTCGGCACTTGCAGGCGGATCTGGTGGCGCGTTGTGGCGCGCGGGGAGGGGGAGAAGTGGGAGGAAGGGGAGGGGGGAAACGGGGGGGGGGGGGGAGGAGAAGGAAGAGAAGGGGGAAGAGGCTGGAGAGGAAGGGCACGGCTGCAATGGGGAAATGGGGATGCTGCGGGGGTATCGCTGTTGAGTGCTTTCACAACACGGCTGCAACGCACACGGGCGGGGGTGGTTCGTCCAGAGAGAGGCCACGATATGGTGAGGGCATGGCGGGGGGAGGGCATGTCGGGGAGGCCATGGGGCGGACCTGCGTGTTGGAGACGCGCGAGACGAGGAAGGACGACAGGATGCTGGGCTCGCCGCGGTGCGGCGACTGCACCGTGCCGCCGCCGCCGCCCCACGACTTGGCGTTCTCCGGACCCCACCACGTCTGAAACGCCTTGGACATCAGATGCACCTGTTGCGCGCGCGCGACGGCGGCGGAGCAAGCGGAACGGGAAGCGGAAGGGGAAATGGAAGAGGGTAGAGGTTAAGGGGAAGGTTAGGGGCAGGTAACGAGAAGGTCGGGTCCGAGGATGGGGCGCGACGAGTAGAGACACAAGGTGGGAGAAATAACTCTCTGCGCGCACCCTCTTAAGGCGTCTCAATGCCCGATGCGACTCGAAGCCCAGGAGAAAATCCAAGGCGCCTAGACGCGAAAAGCAAGGCATCTACACGCCAAGGGTTTTCATTATTTCGGGTTTTGGGAGTAGCCTCAATGGCAGCTGCCGGGGCGCACTGCACGTGGCGGGCATGTGCGAGCCGTCCTACCCGCCCATCCGTTTCTCCTATCCGCCCCAGTCTCTCCAGGTCTTCCTTCCCCTCTTTCCCGAACAATTCTTCTCCTTTCCGCCGGCCCCGTCTTTTTCCGACCACCCCTCCCTTTTTCTCCGTCCCCTTACCCCCGGCCCTATCCCCGTGCATCATACCCGCGCGCCGTGCGCCATCTGCGCGCTGATCCACTTGGATTTGAACGACGGCCTGCCCCTGGGAATGCGCGGCGCGCGGTTGGAGCAGCACGGGCCGCGGCACCGCGGACCCACGACCTGAGCTGAGCGCTTGCCCGCGGAGGAAGAGGAGGAGGAGGAGGAGGCAGAGGAGGAGGCATTGCGCGGACTGGAGCCGTCATTCGATGCGAGCCACGCGGAATTGGCGGATGATGCTGCGGATGACGTGAGCGTGTAGCTGGATCGTGGTGCGAGAGGGGGGAGGCGCAGGGAGAGACGGTGAGAAGAGGGAGAGAGAGAGAGAGGGGTGAAAGGAGCAACCAGGGGGGTTGATGAGAAGAAGAGCGAGGGGTCGTCACTCGCACAGTGAAGGGACTTGAGGCGGAAGGGCGCGAAAAACTGCGCAAGGCCGCAGAAGGTCGCGGAAGGGTGCAACAAACCGCGGAAGGGTGCAACAAACCGCGGAAGGGTGCGGGGTGCGGAAGGTTAAGGTAGGGCGGGGAAGGGCGGAAGGGCGGGTGGGGGTGCATTGAGCTGGAAATTCGGATGTGCAGCGAGAGGGTCAGCGCTGCTTCAATAGGATTGATGGCGCGAAAAGAGTGGGCGTGGGGGTAGGGGGAGGAGGCGGGGGGGAGTGCGGGAGGAGTTGGGGAAGCAATACCAGAACACGGAGAATCAGTGCCGTCCTGTCACCGTTCTGGTCTCAAACGCTAACTAGGGCGAGCACAAAACAACAACATGGCATGCACGTAATTGTGGACCCAACAGCAACCACAGCATATCATCGTATGGACTCACCTCGCAAGCTGTAGACAAAAAAGGCTTGCAGCGGCGGCAGCGGCTAATTGCCGTGGTTGCCGATCGCGAGTGCGCGCCATGGCGTGACCGTATCACACGGGCCTCGAAGACGGCCTTGGGATCCTGAGGTAAGAAACTTCACGAATCGACTAATTCGATTTTGCCTGTCACAGTCGATGTGGTTTCTCTTTTCTTCTAATAATTCGCCGGGGTGCCGACGAGGAAGATCGTGTGCTCAAGGGAGAGGCGCCTAAGCTCTACCGCGATCAAGAATGTCGCGAGTGGTAGTGGCGAATGGTCAGGTCAAATCAAAATAAGGGAAGCAAGTGAGGCTCAATTGTTGAGCCTCTTTTTGTCTACGTTCTCCCGTGCTCTTACTCTCGCGCGTGCATCATCCAAGGAAACGTCTGACGCGTACTTCCCATTCGGTCGAATCTGGTGCGTGGCGTTGGAAACCGGTCCTAGTTCTTCACAAATTTAGACCGCGCGGAAACAGTCCAAACCGTGACAAAACGATTGTTCAACCATCAGGTCGTCGTCCTGTTTTTCTGTCGCTCCCACAAGCGCACCCACGTTCGTCGGTCCTTCCCTCGCCCTCACCAACGACGCATGCCTATCCCCAACCGTGCCTGCGCGTATCTCCACCGAATTTCGCCAGTGAAGCCTAGTTTCGGTAACCATTTCCCACAGAACAATCTTCGCCGTGTGGACAGCGTGGGATCGCGAGCATGTCCAGATCATTCCAGGTTTCGCAGGGACATTCCTGGTGGGTGGGACAGTTCCCACCTCCCCCCCCACCCGTTTGGCGAATCACGTCTTCTGTGTTTGACGGGAATGGAGCCGCGTGAACCGTGAACTCCTCGTTTCGTCATCTCGTCGAACACCTCTCAAACACAAGAACCGGCGGCGGCGCGGCCTCCTTGTTCCACCCACGACGTGCCCCATGTCTGGAAGGCAGTGGTGCATTTTGTCGCAAAGCCACTTTTCAAGGTATAATCTGACGCGTCACAAAACAAAAGCTGTGTTGGTAACTCACCGACATAATCACCACAATTGAATGTGTTATGAGTTGTATGTAAGAAGAGTGCGCAGAATGCAATATCGCGGAAGTGATTACAACTACTAAGAGCACAACGAGGCCTAGGACTTATATAGCGAAGCTAGCTGGGCCGAGGTTGTGGGGTCGCGAGATGGCTGGGTGCAGGTTCGGGGTTGAGAAACCCGAACGCGACGCGGTAGTGGTTCGGAAGGCGAGGTCAGCGGACCGAGCCTGGTTTTCCGAAAAGTCAGGTTTGTACGCGTACCGTGCGACCCAGTAAGGAATCCGAAAAAATCCTTACACTACCCCCCCCCCCTTAAGAAAGGTGGTGAATATCGGAGACACCCCGGCGGGCCAGGTAAGCATCCACAATCGGATGTCCCAGTAGTGAGTCAGCGGCGACATACGTGTCATCCTCGCTCGTGCGTTCCTTCCAGCGAAGCAGGAATTTCACGGAGCGGCCGGTGGCGGTCACGTCCACGCGATGGTTCAGAATTTTCCAAGGTTCCAGCGTGGGCTCTGCCACAGGGCGTGTGGTCGGCGCGATGGTTGGCCGAGCGACAGCAGGCGACTGCAGGTGTTCGTAATGACGCATGAAGCTGACGTGGAATGCGTCGTGTATTTTCCAGTCGTCGGGCAGCAGCAGCTTTGCGGTGACAGGTGTCACCATCTGGACGATACGAAACGGTTCCACGAACCGGGGTCGTAGCTTGGCCGGCTGCGGCAGCTTGAGATTTCTGGTGTCCAGAAGTACAACTTGCCCTGTGCGGAAAGGTAAATTCCGTCGGTGTTGATCCGCCTGGCGACTGGCCGTGGTATTAGCCCTTCGAATGAAGTCAGCCGCTTTTGTGCGGGCGGTCTGCAGTTCCGTGACAAATTGTTGCGATCGTGGTACCGGGTTGTCCACGGTCGTTGAAGAGGGCACCACAGGATCTATCCCGTAATTCAAGAAGAAGGGCGATTGTTGAGTCGTGGTCGACGGGGCGTTGTTGTATGCAAATTCCAGCATCGGCAGTGAATCCTCCCATTTACGAATGTCGGGGCAGTTGGTGCGAATCAGCTGCTCCATGGTCTGATTTGTCCGTTCCGTCTGTCCGTCTGTTTGCGGGTGGTATGACGACGAAAACTGCAGGCGGGTACCATACTGGACCCACGTCTCCTGCCAGAACTTCGACGTGAATTTCGAGTCACGATCGCTAATGATCGCCGAAGGTAACCCGTGTAAACGGACGACGGTGGAGATGAACAGCTTGGCGATGTCTTCGGCTGTGATCGTCGTTCGGCAGGGGGCGAAATGTGCCATTTTCGCGAGGCGATCCACGACGACCATGACCGAGTCGTTGCCACTCGTGCCAGCTGGGAGCCCCGTGACGAAATCCATCGTCACTTGCTGCCACGGTCGTTTGGGTGGCGCGAGGGGTTGCAAGAGTCCGGCGGGCCTTTATCGCGACGACTTCATTGCTTGACAGGTTGGGCAAGTGGACACGTAGCGGTGTACATCAGTGTACATGTCCGGCCAGTAATAATTCCGCTGCAGCAGCTTCAGTCTTTTGTCGATGCCGAAGTGCCCAGAAAGGTTGGAGTCGTGGACCTCCTGCGTCAGCAGCTCTCGTAAAGGTCGGTATGCTGGTACCCAAATCCAGTTCGTACTGGCTTTTAGGTAGTACTTGCCGTGTAGTGTGGCGGCCTGTTGTTGCGGGTTCCGAAAAAACCGGTCGATGTTGTAGCCGTGGGTGAATAGTCCCGTCAGCATCGAATTGGTGTGGGCGATTAGGACTGCTGCGTTTTGCATGGATGGCCTGGTGAGAGCGTCGGCGATGTTGTTGGCGCCTTTCTTGTACGTGATGGTGTACCGAAAATTGGACTCGAGAAAGTCCAACCACCAGATTTGTCGTGGGTTCAGCATCGGTTGCGTGCGCATGTACTGTAGCGATTTGTGGTCGGTCCAAATCGTTACGTCGGCTCCCGTGAGATAGCAGCGCCAGGTACGAAATGCGTGGACGATGGCCAGCATTTCTTTGCCGTGGACTGGGTAGTTGCGCTCGGGTGGCTGCATTTTGCGTGACTCGTAGGCGATGGGTTGCAGCCCCTTGGCCGGAGTCCTGTAGCAGGACGGCGCCGATGGCGAAATCGCTGGCGTCCGTGACGACTTCGAACGGTCGAGATGGGTCGGCGAGGCGGAGTACGGGGGGTGAACCCAAAATATTTTTGAGGGCGTCGAAGGCGGACTGCTCCCTCACCCCCCACGTGAAAACACTGTCGTGGTGTAGCAGGTCGGTCAGAGGCTTGGTTATCCCTGCCATATTAGGGACAAAACGACGAATGTAGTTAACAAACCCGAGGAAACTTTGCAACTCAGGGATATTAGTAGGCGGTTTCCACTTAATGATGGCGTCCACCTTATGCGGGTTGATTTTGATTCCGTCGCCAGAAGCCACATGCCCCAGAAATTCCAGTTCTGGCTTTAGGAACTCGCACTTAGACCCTTTTGTAATCAGCCGATGTCCCTGCAACCACCGGAATACCTCCTCTAAATCCCGCAGGTGATCCTCTTTGGTCACGCTGTACACCAGGATGTCGTCCAGATACACGATGACTTTCTTGTCCAGCATGTCCCGGAAAATT